CGGTGAGGCTAACTACTATGGGGCAGTTGTTGGTGTAATGCTGCCCTTTGCAGAAATGACATGCTGAAGCATTCGTGGAGACGACCTGAGCTGTTGCTGTTCTTTCACGTCGACGTCCACCTGATGGGGAGCGGGACTGACGAACATGGGGTTGACGCGACAGACGGCACAACATGGTAACAGGAACGGAGCGTTCGGAACGCTGGTCTGCCTGACGGCTGGACTTGCGAGGGGGTTCTTCGACTGTGACCTCAACCGTTCGGATCGACGGCGTATCTCGATGAGGGGTTTGCTGGGGTTGCGAAACCTTGGAGTATAATGCGTCGAGTTCTTCGGCTGTAGGGATGTCGACGGATTCGGCCGGTGCGGAGGAAGTGGGGTCGACATGATACAGGCGGGCCAGCGCGTTTCCGATGTGCTTGAGATTGGTGTATCCCTGGGCTGTCGCTGTTGACGCCGTGACACATACGAGTTTGATGCATGCGATGGAGACCTGATAGTGACTGAGCATGTCCACTAGCTCCTTATTGTCTTCACTCGGGCTGAACACCTGCGGAAGGATGAGGTCTGTGAAGGTATTACGTTGATGCTGAACATTATAGACTAACGTGATGAGTTCTTCGTTGAGCTTCAGTAGCTTTGCCGGGTTCTTGAACTCCTCGGAGGCTTGTGAGAGTGAGTTGTTAAACTCGATGAGTTTCCGTGTTGCGGCGTCAAGGCCCTTGTAAGCTTGGATGATGAGGTAGATCGAGTACTTCTTTATTGGAGGATATTCCATTTCAGCTTCCGTGGGAACATATGCTTCGTCCACGACCCAGTCTCTCATGGTGGTGTAAAATGCATGTCGCAGAAATGCATCAACCATAAGCATATCGCGGGTGGAGAGGTGCTCGATGCTAAACGTGTGGTCGTAGTTTCGTGCCAGTGTTAGCGATTGCGCGATACGAAGGGACAACCTATGTTCGGGCGGAAGACTCCGATCCTCGGAGGTGTCATCATCGGTTGTAGAGGCTCCCTTGCTTAGATCTCCTGAATATCCTTGCGCGAGGAGAGCTACAAGTTCGTGAGGTACCCAGTCGCGTCGTGCTCGATTAGGTAAGGTGGTGGACTTAGGATCAATTAGTTTAGGATGGAGCAAAGGACGATATGACGAGCGAGGAGCCGGCGGCGGGTTGGGTCGGAATCCATAGAGTTGGCGTAGAGCTGGGATCAACAACTCGGCATCAACATCACTAGAAGAATCATGGGTAAGAGGAGTAGAAGACGGATTGAATTGCTTAGTAGAGCAACCTAACCTGTGTTGTTCATGTGGTCGTGAAGACGAGTTATCTGGACTCAGCAGGTCTACATTCATGGTACTGATCTGATGATGTAGTCCTGAAGACGAGCTACCGGGACTCGATGGGTCTGCCGTCATGTTACTGTTCTGATCATATGGTCGCCGAGACGAGGTGCCCAAGATCATGTGTGCCGCCATGTTACTGTTGAAATCATGTGATTGCAACGCACAAGTATTTTGATCATCGACGTCCATAGGGGCGGGGGTCGCGCAACGGTGAGAAGGCGTACGGTCGCCCGAGGCCATGGCGCTTGCTCCCTTCTCTGCAACGATAAGCATGACTAAAGCGTCGCCGCGACTGAGGGCAATGGGGGTGACACGTTCTCATCCGAAGACAGCTTTACAAGATGAGGAGAAACGGCACTGTAGCGGGTGAGATGATGAAGAATACATAACCCTAAGTTAAAGTGTCTACACAAATTTGAACAGCAGCAATTCATGTGAAAGAAGTAATTACCAATGGAACGATAATGTGGACGTAAAAATTTCAAATCGAAAAATGCAAGCTGTACCATCACTCTTATTGAAGCGACTATTTCCCCCAAAGATGCATCCCCTGCAATGGAATTGGAAGAAATAATGTGTGACTCAGCGTCCCCCAATCATGAATTAACTGCGAAGTTCGAAATCAGTTAGGTGAGGAACCCTGATGAAAGCAGAAAGACGATATTCATGACCATCGTTAAGAAGGGGGGTGTAGGGTTGGTCTACAGGAGAAAATCATCTGAATGAACGATGAGACCACAAGGACAGGTTCACACGGAGTCATGAACGATTGCGACGATGATTGCTTTGCAAGCAAGCACGCCAAATGAGGACACCGGTATGAAGGAACATGAACGAATAGAAAACATGAAAAGGATTTCGTACTGTTGTAAAAATAACAGCAAAAATCTTAGGCGCTTGCATCATGAAGGAATGCAAAAGACTTGAAGTTGAATGCAAACCTGTGTAACGAACGATGACGATGAAATGATTCAACTAGAAATTCTTTGTATGGCATGACTCTGAAGACAAGGTCAGAAATAGCTAGCGCCTCCTTTTTTTCTCAACCCTGCTCTAAGAAGCCGATGAAAGGCGTCCAAACTCTCAAAAATCGCAAGAGAGAATGAACTAAGCGAAACGGCTCAAGCGAATGCGGAAAGGAAACAGTTCGAACATTCATTGTGAGTAAGTAGCCACAAACGCAATAGTACCGGTATCTGCGCGCATGCGAACTCAATAGAATTCATCGTACAAAGAGTTGAAAAGGGGTTAAACTCGAAGATGCAAACATGAGGCGAAACGATCATGACTACCTGGATAGGGAGGAAGATAAACTTGGAAGAAAAAAGGAGGGGGGGGTAATCATAGAAGTTGGAAGAATTAAAAACGGCTGCTATAATGCGACGAGTGGATGGGCGCGTTGTAATACGGTGGTGGGTCCCGAACGGAATACCTGAGTACTGAACAAAAGGGTGACGCGAGGTATACTGTTCGTTGCGGGTTCACCGCTGATGAATAAGAAACATGTTAAGGATGGGCGAATCATGGAAAACTACACTAAATGATTCAAGGCAGGAATACAAGGATAAAGGCATAAACTTCTTGAGAGTGTGATAACATGGTTGATTGCATGTGGTGAAGAATACTCGAATGAAACAAATCTGATGTTATTTGGAATGATCAAAGAACCATGTAGCGTATGCGATGAAAATCGAACCTGTTAAGAGTGGTAATTGAAATCAGACTCGACTTTACATCTCGGAAGGATTTGTAAACAGTAACCTCTCAATCCGCAGGATCTGCTATAAGGGCAGCGACAAGATCGATAGAAGTCACTTCAGCGTGCGAAACTGCGAAACCGCGAACCATAGCAGATCGGTGAGAGGTGCATGGCGTAATCTGACTAATTGATTTGGGCGCGGAAAAGGAAAACTTGCACAGGAGCGCAACAGAAATAAATGAGCAATTGTTCAATCTCGACAACGGCGTATGGAGAAGAAATGAGAGCTCTATGAGAGCGTTTGGGGCCCACAAATTTCAAAATGATGGACTGGTGAGGGCGGGAGTGAATTGGAATAAGCGTTCCTTTATCAACACTCCAATTAAAACGATTCAAAATATGTGAATATTGCAAGAGAAGATGAACTGCGCAAGGCGTCTGAAGGGATCGGAGGAACGAGACACATCCCGGAAACCCAATTGCTCGATGAGTAGCCAAGAACATGATCCAAGTGGGGGTTTTGGTGCGGAGGGAGCATGATAGAATCCACCGAGACGATCACTTGGAGCGAGGATGGACCTAGATTTTTTTGGTTGCAAACATGATGCTAAAGGCATGAACATGGAGAAAAATGTACTTGAAAAACAAAAAAAAACGCGGAATTAGAAAATTCAAAAGTGCTGCGGTGTGAGGGGGCAGTGAAACACGGTAGTGGTTTCTAAGCGGAACACCTGACTACTAAACGAAGGAGTCAAGCGAGATGCACGTTGCCTCTTCATCGATAATAAGGAGGAAATACACTGAGGTTGAAGTCATGAATCATGAATAACGGTGAGTAGGATGTAACACAGTAAAGTGAAAATAGGAATTTTGAGACTATGGTGCTATACGCGCTGTGAAGAGCAGGATCAACGAGTAAAATTCGATCAATCAACGAATGAAATCCGATTGTTCAGAAAGGATGACGGATTCTGTTGAGTATGCCATCAGAGGGTCGACACCGTCAATCTCCTGAGTGGTATCATAGAATCGTTGTAGGACTCGGGCGTCTTCGTCATGATCAAGTTGCGGGTCTGGATCGTCGGTAATACCAACGACATCAAGGGTATCAAAACGGGAGATAGGGTCTGTCGCAGTATATAGTGACATGTTGTGATTTGAAGCATACTGGATGGAATCAACGAAAAAACTGTGAGCCAGAGATGGAGGGTCCAAACCTTGTGTAACAGAGGACGAGCCCTGACGGTAGTGTATGCGGGGGATCTGTGGTAACAATATCCCAGAAGTAATCTATTCCGATCAAGATATCTGGCGTGACCTGGCGTGTCGCTGTTATGGATTCTGGAGCGATGCTAAGGTCTTGTAGGGCATCTCTGTCTTCCGGAGTGATATGGAGTGCAGGGCATGGCACAGTTATCTTGTTTTTCGTACGAACGCTAAGCTGAAGAGGCTTGCGGAGTAGGTCTATAAGGATAACGTCGACTATGCCTGAGTGTTCCGTTGTGCGAACTGCACCGAATGTAATGGTCGTTAACGGAGCGGGGCTGTGTATCTCCAATTGTAAGCGTTGAACAGCTGAATGAGAAATGAAGCTTTTCTGAGCCCCTGTGTCCAAAAGGAGGATGACTGGTTGAAGCTGTCGTGTCTTGGGATGAGTTTGCGCCTCGAATGTACTGTACTCTGTTGACCTCTCGTGATACGAGGGGCTTCGTGTGTTGCTCCAGCGACTTGCCGGTGACTGGGAACGGTCTCTCACCGGTGTCGGTGGACGTCTGCCGTCGTAGCTGGGACTTCTTGAGTAGCCTTCTGGGCTACGGGAGCGATTCGATTCCGTCGAGCGATATCGTTCGCGACTACGGCGACGACTATGATCATAAGAATTGATATAGTCCGACTGTTTGACACAGAGAATCTTGTGGTGACTACCATTGCACGTCGAGCACTTTGGATATCCACAACTGGAACTGACATGTCCTTTACGAAGGCATTTCCAACATAGTTGGTACGACCTGGCAATTGCTCGTCTGGTGTGCGGTGGCAGACGATGGTGACAGCGCGTGGAAGAGTGAAGCTTAAGGTGTCGCAAGCGATGTCAGGGGTTTATGGTTTCAGATGGGGGGTACCTGATCCAGGTTCATGAGGGCCCTTCTCAGCCAGTGCTACCGAGGAGGCCCCTGCCACTGGTCGCAACGGCAGTACTGGAACTGATACATGAACATGGAAGAGTGTACCACCAGCAATAGCCTTCATGGTGACCTGCTCCCTAGGGATATGCATGGACATGAATTGGAAACGGTCATGTTTGAAGAGGGGCCACATGGATTCGATCGCTCGGCCACCGTCATCAAGACGGTAACCGCGGCCGATGCACCAAATTGTGTCGTGACCCATCGGTGGTTCGATCACGACACAAGTGGGACTCCACCCCTCCCGTCCTACCCTACCCGACCCCGTGCTTCGAGTGAATGACGCAACCGAACTGAATAGTTGTGAAAATAACATTGGAACGACCTTTTGCCATTTATAAAAACACCTTATTGACTAAGCCTTCATGTATTCAACGAACACATTGACAATATAAAAATGTGACGAATACCTACTTTCAAGATAACAGAGCGATAGGATGAGCCCGGTCGAAACGCTGAGGACGAGCAGGGTAGTCGGAAGGAGAGGGGGGAGTCGTCCGTCCGGGACGCCGGAGACGAAACGAATGAAAAAATGAATGTTGTTTGTGGAAGCGCGCGAAAAGAGTTTTGGCGCATCATTGACATGGCTTGACACGTTTGACATGTTGAGTGCACATTGGCCCTGGAGCACGCTATTTTCTTCTTGTCGACCAGAGGGAGGTCGGTCACGACAGTAAGTAAGAATGCAGCCAGGGGAATGGGGCCGATTCACGGCGAGGTGGAGGAATGGGGGTCTGTGAGCCACTGAACCTGTGGCAAAAGTTTGGGCCGTGTCTGGTGTCTGGCCTTGTGAAGGGGACGCAGAGGAGCAGTCACAAGACCGCTAAGGCGGTTACCAGGCTTCTTTCGAACCGAAAGGGGACGTGTAAATTGAGAACCATACTCTGTGTAGTACTAGAATTTGGTAAGTCTTGTGAAGGAAATAAATAAAGAAGAGATGTTGTCATAGTATGCCATTTTTAGTGACTAGTTTGTCGTTTTCTGCTCCGTTTCTCGTTTGCTCGTTTGGTAGGACTCATCAATAATGATCATTCTTTGACTTTTTCACTTTTGTACTTCTTAAAGGAATCTTCCGCGGAAAAAGCTCCGCCTCCATTACCACAGAAAAACGATACCCCTTAGGCCCCTAGCATAGCAAAAAGAACGGAACATAAGCGTTAGTTTCGATAATACTAATCCTACACACAAGACAAAATGATCACTCTTTCCGTGGAAGATTCCTTTAAGGTATCGTTTTCTGTGGTAATGAGGGCGGAGCTTTTTCCGTGGAAGATTCCTTTAAAGGACGAATTCACGATGAAAAAGCAACCCATTTCAAATTAACCTAGGGATGGTGAGTGGTACACGAACCCAGAACCCGAGAAATGGGACCCCTTCCTTGCCCGTTGATTTGAGCATTGATGCGACTCTCATCGCTGTGCCCTCTTCAACACTACGCTCTCTCAGCTATCTAATCACTCGCCACGTATTGAACTACGGCGAGTGATCAGATGATCGGTGGGCGGAGATCGCCGGACCCGCCAGCTTTGAGGCATGATAGGTCGCCGAGGTCAAATTTTTCCATGCGAATTGCGCGTCAGTTCGCACCCTCAGGAGGTCCGTGGGTCCCTCAACTAGGTCAGTTTCCCTTTCTTCGACCTTCATTCTAATCGTGAATTCCTCCTTTAACGAATTTTTGGTGGAGGGTGGGGTAGCAGGGCTTTTTTATGAACAGTTTTGGGGAGAATTAAACAACCTTTTCATAGTTCGGCTTTTGAAGAGGGTCGTTTCATGGACTTCGGCCTCTGGCGAGGGGGGGGGGGGGTCGTATTTCCAAATTTTCCTCGACGGTTCGCTTGACCCTGATTACGACCTGATGACAGGATTGTATCACTCACCTAATCGCCTAATGTGCCTCCAATATGAGTACCATTAGATCTAGATTTCCCCAATTGAGCAGATTATCACGGAGCAGGTACCTCATTTTTCGAGGTCATGCACATCAATCGCTGGAAACAGTTTCAGTCTTAACGAAAGTTCTTTCGTAAAATGGATATTATCCATGGAAACGGGATTGGCGCATCGCGGTTATACAAAGAGAAGTGATCGCAGCACATTTGTTAACTGCCATCGTCAACCCACTTTTAATGCTCAAACAAACATTGAGTTCGAAAAAAAGCATAAATCAATGAGATGGAATATGAAAACATGAAAAATTTTCATTCCTCGGAAATCATGCCCAGTCTCCTTCACTTCCTGCTAAACATGTCCAGAACTTGCGACCGCTAGCAAGCCGTTGATTGGCTATTAACTTTTTCTATGGAATGTTGAACTGCCCTCACATCTCTTCTGTAAAAGTCGATCTTCAAACTCAAGAGCTCGCCTTTTTTGCAACTCGTGTGGTTCGCCGCAAGAGAGGACGTTTGGATTAGAAGGCCTCCGGTTTTTCAATGACAGGAATCTGAACTTTCTACCACTTATAACACAGTAGTGGTGAAAAGCTTGAAACTTTTTTATTTTTGTTGAGCGCAGAACATACTTTTCAATTTTCAAAATTTTTTCAAACTTTTGACCGTTACTGTCT